CGTGCCACATCAATCAGGGTGTCCATCCTCACCAAGGCGCACATGTGCCCATCGTTCAGGGACATGAGCCGCACTGCTTTAATCCTGGTGACTTACATTCCCACATTCCACATCTGAACCAAAATAAGACAAGCATCCAAACAGGCAGGAAGCATTCTCAGCTATTTCTAACTCCTGCCAGCCATTCTACTCAGAGGCAATAAAAATCCAGCAGCTCCAAGAAGCCACTTCAGTCTTAACCACAAACCACGAGAAGAACAATTTTATTTTGAAGTCTTCCCACCTCCCTTCAGGACAGTGGTGAGCGCCCTACTCTTCTCTCCCACCTGCCCCAATTTTCTAAGGATAGAGACAAAATAAACCTGGAGTTACCTCTATCACAGCTGTCAGTATTCAGATCAGAGCAATGGAGGCACAACTACATTTAACACCAGTACTTCCAAAAAGCAACGGACATTACACATGGATAAAGAGGCCTGCAAAACACTCAGCACTAGTTCGAAAAGGACTGTTTTAGCTTTCCACGCGGCTTACACCCTCATGAATTTCCACATGCTATTCAGTATCTCTTTTGTCACCTTGCAATGCCAAAGTCAGGGGCAGGATGCTCCAAGGGACCTCGCATGTCAGCTCTGCAGTGCTATCGCCCTGGAAGAGATCTCCTGAAAGCACAAAGTCTCCTGGACCTTGGCTGTCAGTCCAGCTGCCTTCCTGAGAGATGAAGAGGGACGGGGAAGTCTCCCTCAACAGCAAGAGCCGCCTTAGCACAGGCAGTGCTCAGCCACTTCTAATAGCTGGGTTTGAAATAAAGCACTGGAATTTTCTTCAGAAGATCCACAGAGCCCCACCACACCACTCGCTTCTTCCCCGCAGCAAGAGGCAGGTGAAGAACAAGAGCCCTGAGCCAGGCAACTCCCTGCTGTTAAAATAAACCATTTCAGTTCTCACGCTTCAGCGTTACCCACAACCACTGACTTTATCATCCCCTGTCTGTGTCAATTTTATCACAGTGCTATTCAAAACATGGAAAAAACCCTACGATATGCTCAACGTCCAAGCCCAGCCACCACCCTCCCCTCAGCTGCGTCAATCCTCTCTTTTTGCGTTACAACACTCACCAGCTCACCGAAAAAGCTGTAGGTACCACACCGCTGTCGGGGCAACTGAAGGCTCCCCATGCTAGGGTGACAGCAATTAAACACTATTAAGACACGTTCCAGCATAGGTTCATTATCTCAGACGTAACACGGGAGCTAAGCAGAGCCATGCTGCACACTAGCTCTTGATGCCAGAAGTCTGGATCTTAAAATACTTTGAGAGATCAGCCTACGTCAGGAAAAAAGCTGGACTTGCTACAGTTTTTATTCTCCAGTTCTCCCAAAGAAACTTCTCTGTTGAAAGCTTTCTGGTTATTCAAAACAGCGCATCCCGGTACACTAGAGAGGCGAAAGTCACAGGGAGAGGCTATTCTAAATTCACTTCAGGAACAGCACTGCCTTTGTACGCAGCGGGAATACACGCAAGCAAGCGCAAAGCGTGAACGCACATTAAGGTCTACAGCACAGCCCGCAGCAGCAGCCGGCAAGCAGCGTCACTCTGCGACAGAGACTCGGGACGCTGCCTCGGCAGGCCAGAGGACTTCTCCAGCCCCGTACGAGTTTCCCCCATGAGATCTGTTCTGCTGGATTCTCCCCATCGCCCGCTGAACTCAGTGGGAAAAGTCAGTAGGCTATTTTTAGGGAGTCCTAGAAACAGCACGGTGCCCTGCTTCCATTTCGAGTCCCTCCCATCGGGGAAGGTCTGCCCGTGAGCTGCACGTCCGGAACAGCCCCTGCTCCCTACGCTACCCTGTGCTTCAGCAGGCAGTACTGAGCTGCATTTCTCAAACAACAGCGAACAATAATCTACCACCAATTTCATGTCCTTTATAAAAAAAACCAACCAAACAAACAATTAGAAGGCATTCAACAATAAGTTTCAAAACGTTCTTTAAGATGGCCAGGTAGGGCATCCACGCTGTTACACACAAAATTAAACAGCTCTAGTTAGCTGTTTTGCAGTTCTTCTCAGAAACCTGAATTATGGTTAAACGCAACCCGGGTCAGCCAAAAGACACCAGTCAGGACAAGGCAGCTGAAGCCTTAGTGACAAGGAGGTACCCATCACCAGTACCTCCGACCAAGAAACCAAAGAAATCCAAGAGAGTACGAGCAGGCAGAAGCCGACTCCTCTCTCCTTGCGCGCCGGAGAACCGCAGCAACCACCGAGTCCGTCTGACAGATGGTATTGTCAAGCAACAAGACTGGGCAAGACGCACCCAACTCCAAACTCACGAGGATGCTGGGGGCATCACGTCACAGGACTGCTGTGTGACAGGGGACCCATGGCGGGTGCTTCTGCTCTTGAAGCCATCGATACACAGGTCAGGAACCCGCTAACACACTGCCACGGCAAACCTTGCCTTTCCTCCTAGGGAGCTCATCACCGACTTCTGACAAATGAGCCTTTTCCACACGTGCGGGCAGAACAGGATCTCAAGTACAACCACATTCACTTCAATACCTTGAAGCTGAAGCACTGAACAGGAACTGAAAAAAAGGAATCATTTTTTCTAATCACTAGAAAGCAAAAAAATAATCACATATTCCCAAGTCTGCAAGGTCATAATGATCAGGAAAGCTAGACTGATGTATTAACAATTTTTCCATGTAAAACTGTTCTGATCCAGTATTTGAGTACTTCAGTTCTACTTTAACAATACTCACCTTCTGCATTTTAATTAAGTTTCCATTTCTATCCTGAAGCAGCTTGATGCATGGAGAAGTAGTTCAAGAGATAATGTCTTGCCATTTTTAAACATTATTAAAAAAAGATAGAAACATTAAGATGCAAGCATTTAAATAATTACAGATCATATCAATTTAGTCAGGAAAACATACCAAGCTTAGCAATAAAAGCTAAAATTAGCTGCAAAATAATATCACCAGACTAGAAAGCTCTAGAAAAATTACTCAAGTGCTCAAGCAAGACTGAAATTATTCAAATCTGAGCTTCTTGCTTATTTAAATCAACCTGCCTGGAGCCACACAAATTGTTGTGGTAAATTGATTCCCCTAGCATCTGGTTCTCCTTTCGTAAGAGCCACGACAAGAAAAAGGAAAAGACCAGCAAGACAAGATAAAATCAGCTGATTTACAACATCGTTAGGCGTTCTGAATTCAGACAGATTATACATCACAACATTAAACCAAGTTATAAATGTCTTGGCAAGCAAAGGCAGCCGGGCACAGTGACTCATGCCGGAGCTGCGAGGTGCGGCGCTCAGTCACAGACCTCAGCACCAGCATCAAAATCAGAAATGCCATTTTCCTTCTCGGATACTCGGGCAACGCAGCACGGCTAACGCACTTTATTTTACTCTGCTACCTCATCTCTGCTATACTTCAGCAGCACGCACCTAGCTTTTATATGTGCAAGCAGATGAAAGGCTTTCAGCAAACCTACAGCGTTAATGCCTTTACTGATGTGAGAAATATAGTCGTGCTTCCTCCCTGCCCGGCCAAAAGGTAGAGCACGCCATCAAAATGAAGTCTTATTGAAAAGCATGACATACTCGATCAAATAAATGCTTACAGCATTTACCTAACGAATTGTGCTGGTATAAACAGCAGCTTGTTTTTCAGCTGGACAGAGAAGCAAGATTAAAAACTAAATCCAAAAACCCTGAAGCAGCATCACAGAGCGGTTTCCAAGACTTACCCTTTGCTACGACCTAACCACGCGGTCTTCAGCGAGAAAAGCCAATCTGAGCTTTTCTTCAGGACCAAGTTTTTGTGCACACCGAATGAAAGTGATTGCTGTCTGCTCATTTCTCACAGGGGAGCTGCATTTCATACGAGAAGAGTTATCCAGAAACATTTACCATACACATCTGCACCCATAAGGAAATGAGTCACCAGCCCACTGGCAGGCCTGATTCACAGCCCACGGCGCGCTCGGGCTGTTGGGAAATCTGTGTACAGAATACAGGGGAAAGGCAGATGCAACCCCAAGTCATTTTAAGAGACTAGATATAGAACACCAACTAACTGAAACGCATTTTTTTCCTCCTCTGCTTGGGCATAATTTCTTCAAAAGCACACGAGCAGCATGGCGTTGCACACAGCCACAGAACTTTTCACCTGGATGAATCATAATGTTTTCTTTATGTAACTGGAAGAAAAGCAAACTCCAATGTTTATTTTAACCCTGGATAAAATCACTTGGATTTTGTTCAACAGAAAAGTCAACATGAATAAGTCTTTACAGTCACTGCACAGGCAAGGTTTCCATGGGATTTCTAACAAACTACCAAAGAAAAAGTCTGCTTGCTTTCAGAAGGCGCAGGCAAAGCCCTGTTACCGGACCAAACCACGTACCTTTCTTCAGTTCACCACACCAATTAAAGGATTAAAACAAAGAAAACTGTATGTACATCGTCTTTAAGCTCTGCGCTTCCTCATGAGGTTCGATACGGGTTTAAATTAACCTCGCTCCCAGAAGCAGCCTGGGGCACTGCGCTGCAGTACGCTTCTCCGCAGGCTCTGGTCTTCTCTGCCATGGATACTCAGCTTTTAATGCATTTTGTGTTTCTGAGAGCTCCCTTCCAAAAAGCACGAGGGTTTTTCAGCTTGAACTGCTCAGCTCAATAGCTATATAGAGCTGTTAAGCCAAGCATTTTGCTTGAAAACTCTGACCGTAATGGTAATTCAGAGGATTTAAAATGATACCACGGTAAGCAGCAAGATCAGTAACAGTTTCCCTTAAGCCAAACGAAGAAATTATAGCTGACTAGTTTTGCACAGATGAGCAACTTTAAAAAAAAAAAAAGAAGACATGTTTGATGCTAGATTTTAAAAGTGAACTTGAAGAGCTTTCTGGAAAGCAACGTTAGTAGAAAGATGTCTTACTGGTACACAGGAGAGCCAGACACCTGCCCGCAAATCCTCCCAATTACTGTTTCCATAACTCCTACTTAAAAAGCTATGAATAAAGACAAGCTGCAATTAAAAAGACTGAGCACACC